GCAGATCAAATAGATGCTCAATGAGGAAACCGGAGCTTTAAAAATTGTTTTGCAAAAGTTATTGTTGCTTTTCATAGTTTCCTGAAATGAAGTAGATTAATTCAATAATATCTCTGATTCAATATAGCTCATATACAGGTAGGTACTGTGTTTCCTTGGGAATAAATACAAATCTTGTTTAGAAATCCACAGCTGGTCATTGTGCCCACAGGTGGAGGTGGTTCCGTTTATTGCATAAGACAACAATGCCACCCCTCCACTCCACTCCACTCCACTCCCCTCAAAGCACCAGCGTGACGGCTGCCAGCTCTAGTGCCGCTACAGAGATGGCACAGAGCCTGCAGCCTCTCACTCCAAGGTCACAAACAAGGGGTGAAACAAACAGAATGTACCACAATGCTAAATAATGAAAGCAGCAAAAAATGCAACAAAAAAAAGTAATACAATCACATCGGTCCCAATCCCAGCAGCCCATCCACTCTGGAGCTAGAGATAGTCTCTTCCTGTCCTACTGTTCCGGCATAACAATACGAATCGCAGAGGCCTTTGGGTGCCACATTGCCCTCACCTGTGACTAAGCATCTCTGTAGGCTTCAGGCTATCCCCCCAGGCAACTAAGACATCTGTATACTTAAGTTCTCCATATAACCAGGTGCTGTCTGTTGGAGCTCTCTGCTATCTCTCTGGGTTCCCAGCTCCACTGGGAGACCACCAGTCTCTTAATTATTGTTCATGGTTGGAGACTCCAGAAGAAAACAAAAATCACTTCCCCTTGCTCTTCTGGGATCCCACAGTTCTCTGCAGAGACAGGGGTTTCTCTGCCCTCTTGGTTCTGTAGGGAGTCAACTCGCCATGACGAAGCACCACTGCTGACCCATAGTGCTCGGCAGTCCCTGGAAAATCCTTGTCTGGTTGCTGGCAGTGGCTCTCCCAGGTCGGGACTTGGGAACTGCCTTGTACTGTTGCAGCTGTAGACCCAAACAAGTTTCCCAGTGGTCTTTTATTGGACTAATCACACTCGACCAATAGAAAGGCAGCTTTTGAAAGACCCTTTGGGGCCATATCTAGCTGCCATTTTTGCCTAAGTGGCAACTAAGACATTTGTATACTTAGCTGCCATTGTTCTGGGTCAGCCCCTCTTTGCAGTGGCTTGCCCACTGTACCAGTCTTGGTGGCGATCTCGAAGCAATGCCACCCTCTGCTTGTTCTTCACCCACAGTCAGCATCTTTTCCAAGGGGTGAGTGCCTTCCCTCCCAAAACTGCTCCATCACAGTCCTAAATGTGATGCTCCAACCTGTACAAAGACAACATCAGGACCAGGAGACTGGTTCCTTCTCCTGGCTGGAAGTCAGCAGCAGGGATTTCTCCCCGGCAAAACTAGCTGGTCTATAGGAAAAGCTTTCATTTTTGGTGGTTGGACTGGGATAGTGTCTCAACATTGTTAAAGTGTTTGTGCAGGAGGCAGCTGCCCAGCTAGAGACAAGTCACTACCAAGATGCT